TTTTTGGTGGTGCTACGGGTCTTTGTAGAAGTGTTGATCAGATGAACACTCAGAGCATATGACCCTTTGCAAGGCGCAGTTCTTGGTCACGTGGTCACTGTATTTGTAGCACTTCATACAGTGTTTGATGGGCGTATATTTTTTGTATTTTATTTGGTGTGAGGAGATGGAAGTGCCATATGCGTAGAGCCCCTTCTCCTTCATTCTTTTTGCATCCGTTGTGTCTGCAAAGTGAACCTTGATTATATTAAGGGCATACATAGGGTACAGTACCAGTGGTTCTCAACGTGGGCCTTATGGTCCCCTAGGGGGCCACACCATACCTTTAGGGGGCCACATGGAACAAACGGAACATTAGGGGACCACAATAAGTTTTTGAGGGAGCCTTCCAAACTTAACTGCCAGGCGTATGATCAATTTGTCATCATCGTCACATCTCATTCTTTGTGCTAAGTTCAGTAGCTCATACATTGAAAATTACTCTAGTAAAGACTAGTAAGTAGACGAAATTTATGAAATCTCCCATAATGAACAGATTTGTCACCCCTACTAAAACCTAGCTAAGTCTCCCATCATAAAAAAAAACCGAACAAATTATAAATTTTCTTTATTGCGTTTGTTGATAACCCACGGTCAGCTTATGACGGCACGCCAGCCAGCGGGTTGCTTCAGTCTCCACTCACGTGTCATGTAGGCATTAAAAAAAAAAATTGTTTACTTATTTCTTGCCTGGTCATGAATTAACCTAGGTTAAACATCCCTAGGCATATGTATAGGGTAAATACTACTATAAGAAAAATGCGTGAATGGAGATGGATTGGTGGGGTGTGGAGCTGGAGGTGGTAATGGTGTCGCATTGGTGAGTAGAGCTAGGTCGAAAAGCCGGTTTCACTTGGGTGTTTAGGTGTTCGTGACCACCCTTTCACCAATGCGGGGGCCACGAGTGGCTGCACTTGGAGGTCTCGACTAGGACAGTTAGGCGACGACTCCATGGAATTGGGATCCATCACAGGGTCCCTGCTGTCAAGGAAAGGTTCAAAGAACAACATCGGGTTGGAAGACTTTTTTTTTTTTTACGGGGAATAGTTCACCCGATACAGGTTATCGACCCACAACGGGGCCTAGGGGGCGAAAAAATAAGAATAAAGAGAAAATAAAAATAGAAGAGAAAATGCTATAGCAATCTACACCACGAAGATGCCGGAAAACCAGCTTTTTGAAGTGAGACAGATTGTAAGAGTATGGAAACACAGAAGGCAGAGCATTCCACAGTTTGGCTGTGCGAGGGAAAAAGGATGTACTATAACGTAACGAGTTATTCTAGTGTGACCGACATCCACCGCGGGCAAAACGAGTGTTACGAGCCCACGGCCTTGCCGGAGGTATACAAGATGCCAAATCCACCGAACATTGCCCGTTGAAATACCTGTAAAAGAGAGAGTGGAGCAACATTGCGGCGAAGAGTAGGGGAAGGGAGATTCAACTAAAGGAGGAGAGTTAATAAGACCTTATCTATCAGTTGGGCAGAAGAAGAGCCACCCTTATAAACCAATATATTATATATATATAGGACCCTTATAAACTTGAAGCAACTGCTCAGGAGTGAAGTAGTTACGGCATCTGTACAGCATTCCCAGCTTTCGGGAGGCAGCTTTAGCAATGTTGTGGATGTGTTTCTTCCATGACATATTAGTGGAAATGGTGAGACCTAGCATATCTATTTTAAAATTTGGCAGAATAATTGCGTCCTGAAATGTGACTGGTGGGAGATCACCTAATTTGTTAAGTATAATTGGTAAATTCTGTGTTTTATTACTATTGAATTTAACCAAGTTTTTACCTCCCCATTCGGAGATGCTGCACGGATCCACATTGATAGATGAAATGATATCAGTTCTGAGAAACAGACCTAGTTTGAGAATTAGGGGAAAGGGAAAAATGTGAAGAGTGAGAGTAGAATCATCAGCGTAAGAATGGATAGAATTAGTTGTAGTGTTAAGTAAATCATTAATAAAAAGAAGGAAGAGAGTAGGTGAAAGAACAGAACTCTGTGGGACACCACTATTGGTAGAGAAAGAGCGAGAGATCGATCCCTCGACACAACGGCCGTGGATCGATTCTCAAGGAAGCTAGAAATTAGAGAACAAAGTGGGGGAGAGAAACCATACGCGGAAAAGGGACGTGATTGCTGCCAGTATCATCATTGGGTATGACTTTGCTTGGGAGATTGGTATCACCGCATCCCCTGAGCTACGCTCTTGTGCATTATGCAGAAGTCCCGACAGCCGCACCCTTATCCACTACCTCCTAAAGCCCCGTCCACACGATGGAGCAGTGCCCGGCGGGCACGCGCTAAATGCCCATTATCGGGCAAACCATTGGAGCGCCCGTGCCTTTCATTGAGCGAAATCATGGTCCGCCTGCCTGGTGGTTTGCTGCCGGATATGAAGCGACGACTCTGTATTATGTAACGAGGACATTCGTGTGTTCTTCGTTCCTGCTGCTCTCCTCACTCTAGTCCCATAGCTTCCTGTTTATGCATATCATAATTCTAACATTATTCAATGAAATTTTATGTACTACAAATCTCACCTGCAAGTAATCTTCCTTGAGTACTTCACACATGGCTTGACAAGTTGCAGGTATTATGGGAGACAAACTTTGTTTTGATATCCTCGTTCTATACTGAAGTGACGTGTAGGTGCACCCAGTTGAAAGATATTTGAACGTTGCTTCTAGACGAGCCTCTGCAGATATACTCTCCCTCATATTGGTATCCTGTTTTTTCATATATGGTTTCACTTTCGCTAGAAGTTTGTAAAAGGTGTTGGGGTCCATTCTCATATAATTGGTGAAGTCTTGCTCATGTGCATCTTGCAGTTCACGTAAAATCGTGGCATGACTTCCCAATACTTTTCTTCGACCTAACCACTCTTTGCACCATTCCCTTTTCTGCATTTGGTTCTTCTTTTTGCACATAGCAGCAATTATTATAGTACACAACGCTATGCTCTTCGCTTTAACTGTCCGGCGATTATTCCTGCGACACACCATGGTGATCGTACCGCACCCGCCACTGCCGACCATCTACTAGCTACCAGCGCCCGACTATGACTGCCGCCAACCACCCCCGTGTGTACAACAACACACAGGCTCTGCCCGGTAAACGGGCAAAGCCCGCCGGGCACTGCTAGATCGTGTGGACGGGGCTTAAGATGTCCCCACACACAACGCTTCCGTGACGCCTGCTGGACCACCACTCCACGACCCCCCTGACGGAGACACGATGACCCTCCCCATACTTGCCAGATACTATGTAAATAATATTGATAATGTGTTGAAGGAATATCCTTCCTTCCTTCCTTAGGCTTTAGTAAGCCCCCTTTATAATATCTATAATGTATATACTTGTGACACTTGCCAGATGCTTCTGGTGTTATTGTACAGGGGTACTTAGTGACAGCACTAGGATCCCGCTTTCTCTATCAAGGAATAAACTATTGAAATTGAAATTCAAATTGAAAGGAAAGTTTAGAAATCAGACTTGTGCCATACCCTGTCACATGCTTTGGAGATGTCGAGGGCCACGACGAAGGCTGAAAACCGGGCAGTTCACTGCCTTCAACATAATACATTGGAATAAAGATTTTCAAGACTCAATAAAAAGGTCAATGAGATATGTTCTTGTGACTATGCCTGTCATATTACGCGAGTGTTCCCACACTGCTTGTATAGTGTATTATTTATTGAACGGAAAAAGAAAAATGTTGTAATTAAGATTCTTTACGATAACAGTTGCGTCCCACTATTATTTTTAGGTGTCGGTGTTATAGTCCAGTACACCAATGCTTTCATCTATGCATATTGTTTATATAAATTATCTACACTATCTTTGTAGACTGTATACCTTCACTGCTTATCCATATGCATGTTGAATCAATGTGAACTTGTATGACGATTTTATTGATTCAATATCTTTACTGTATATCTACAAACTCCTAAGAAAAACAATTGGGGTAGAAGTTATCCTTCTATTTCCACTATTATCACTTCATATTGTTAATATAACAATTTTAAGATATCATAAATTAGCCAAGATACTACAGATTATCTACAATATTATTATAAACTAACCAATATATTATAATAAACTAACCAATATATTATAATAAACTAGCCAATATATTATTATAAACTAGCCAATATATTATAATAAACTAGCCAATATATTATAATAAACAAGCAATAAATTGTCATAAACTAACCAGATATAATAAACTCGCCAAGATATTATTATGAACTAGCGAGACGTAGCTTTTAATATAAGCCACTTAATATATTACATCGGCCTTCAGAGAGCACATTTGTATGTGTATCTCCAGCACCAATATGCAGTATAGAAGGCACTCTGTCTTCCCTAGTCAACCAAAGAAATTTTAATTATCAGTATTCGTAATGGAAGTAGTAGTACTAATCGTTATACAGTATTCGTACTAATAGTAGAAATGATTAATATTGCTGTGGTAGTGTTAGTAGTAACCAATAACAGTAATAGTAGTAGTAGTTACCAATAACAGTGATAGCAGTAGTAGTAGTAATTGTGGTGGTGGTGAGGAATAATATTACAGTAGTAAATAGTAGTAAAAATGTAACTGTGGTGCTAATGATAGCAACAGTAGTAAATAAGAATATAACTGTAGTAATTGTTGTAGTACTTGTAGCATTGAAAATATTACTGTGGTAGTAACAGTAGAAGCAGTTAGAAAATAATAGTAGTAGAGGTATTAGTCAAAGCTTATATTGTAATAAAGGTAATACTTGTGTTAGTAAATAAACTATGATGTTGCCACAATGGCAAGTGTAATTGTTACCTGGTCACTCGAAGGTATCTGGCTGACCGAGTCTGTACCAGTATACAGTATACTGTAGGTCGTCTGTGCAGGGCTCAGGCGTTGACTCGTTTGTAAATTTCTTGGGGAATGCCATATTTAAAACACACATTTACAACACCTATAGTAATGAATATTTATTGTGTATTACTTTGAAAAGTATTACATCAGATTATTCAGACACTGTAATTCAATCGTAGGCTTACAAATACTGACATTGTTTCCAAAACAGCATGGAAGCTATACAAAATTCTAGAAATCATGAAACAATCAAATGTATTTTACACGTCCACAGAAATGGACAAAAATGCTATGAAATTTTAACAATGAATGCTGGACATTTATACAACATTATCTTAAGTGCATCAATAAGTTTTCCACTTGCTATTAAGTGGGTATGGAACTGGAAATTTTAAGTAAAGAGGATAATATGAAGTAAAACCTGGCATGAAATTTTAGTATGTGTAAATATTAATAGGTGTATAACGTATGGTAGAGGAGTGTGCATTACGTATAATGTTTTGTCGTGCCTATGGAGAAGTTCAACCATGTTGGCGTTAGGACGCATCAGTTATGGCCACAATGCACGTTCGCTGCTATTTGAACTGTGTAACTTGCTTTCTCACTGTGAAAAGGAGCACTTTATCCTCTGTGAGCTTGATATAAGCTGCCTCTAATCTCAACTCAGTCTACTAATTTCACAAAGCAAAGAGATAGCTACGACCAAAATATCCTCTTCTAAGTTCACCAGAATATATCTTATAATACAACAATGTAATTAAGCATCATGTTGAAGATATAACTAATATATATTTTTGCAGTTTAATTCAACAGCTACATTGCACCTCATTCACCTACAAGCGAACTCCATCGATATAGCGCGGGTGTTATGTTGCTGACGCCACTATCAGTGCCCACAGTCCACGCGACAAGCGCAGCTACAGCGGAGCAACATGGAGCGTGACCAGCCGCCTCCCTCAGCCACCATCACCTCACTAGAGATGCAAACTGGTCCTGCCATTTGCTAATATCTCAAGATCAAGGTCGCAATGATATCTTCAGACAGCAATGAGTCATGAATTTCTTTTTGTGCTTTTGTTGGTATCGAAATGAGTGTTAATTATAATAAATGAATCTCCAGGAAAGCTTTGATGCAGTGTTACGAACATCCTACAGTATGATTCATCTAAATTAAGCAATTTCGTATTGCAGAGCTTCAAATTATGCATCACTATGAGAGCAGTATCGCGCTGGCACTACCAAATTATTGAAGAATCTGCTGTAACCAGAAATGGCATCTACACAACGCCACGATAGAGGGTATTCAAGTTTTTATAACAACAACAACAACAACATCCCTTTCCTGAAAACAATTTCTTCCAAATATTTCCAAAATGGGGGAACCGTGGTGCCGACCTTCCATAAAAGACCTGAACCTTGACCTACCACGTAGGTTCACTGCACAAAAATGCTAATTAGTTCTCGTCGTATTACCGTCTAGAATTGTGATGGTAATATTCAGCGTCGCTAGTTTACAGTCTAAATGGAGTTCTTACATTTACGATTGTGTTTTAAGTGTTATACGTGCTTTAATTATGAAATTAATGGTGCATAAAACAAAATGATTGACTTGGATTAAACACTATTTTAAAGCTACTAAAACCATCTGTGTGTACCAATAGCCTCGTGCTCCGGTCACACCAGACATTAGTGTGTGCTTCACAATTCATTCTATCTGTATCGATGCAAGTTTAAGTAATATTATCTTCAGTACACAATGTAAGGATAAAATAACTAATAGTTAAGCTCTGTACATTTAACTTATTCTATGGAGGACTCTGAACTATAATACAGTGAATACTGTCCTTGAAAGTAGTTGGCGTCCGACTTAATGGAAGGAGAATATTAACCCTTAGAAGTTTTCATTTGGCTTTCATATGACTTCTTTCTGAGCTCATTGATCGACCTTTATTTCATTATCGGGATGTGTAAGCTTTCAGGCAGGTTGGTGAGGAGGACGATTTTTACTAGAATAACAATGTGGTTGAAACACACAGGGACGAGTCACAGGTCTCACTAGTTAGCTTCTCACTCCAAGTTTCGCAAATTATATAAATTAAATACATGGTACTGAAACTCACTGAGCGCGGGATATGATAATGTGTTTGTTAGCTGGTTAATAATTACACACACACACACACACATATATATATATATATATATATATATATATATATATATATATATATATATATATATATATATATATATATATATATATATATATATATATATATATATTGTTGCTTTACAAATAATTAATTAGTTTTAGTTGTATGAAAATATTCCAATAGTGGATTTCGTCTCAATATTATTTTTGTTTCTATTAAGACTTGGTTGTTTGTTTTCATCCTCACAAGATAAAAAGGACAGCAGATAGGCTTATGACAGCGAATATACCCATACAGTATAATAATGATAGTAATTATAGTGGACGTTAGGACTAAGTATAATCCTGCATCTATTTTATTGACTACTATTTCTTCACTTCTCTATTATTGCTGCCCAGTTCTCCGCTTTTTATATTCATTCCTTCATATATCTTTCATTTGTGGATACTCACCCGAGAGGGCCTCACTATTCAATGTAAGAAGTTTGTGATTGCTTTAACTACATGGCACCTGAACTCACGCAAAAATTAGTGGTTTTATTTTTGAAGAGTTAGTTGTGATTCTGAACTTTTAATGAGTGAACATTTTTGGTACCGATAGTGGAATAAATGACTAGGCAAAAACATTAAGTCTATCAAAAGTTTATGGTGTTGTTTGCAGTCAATTTTAACAGATTAAATTACAAAAAGTATGCAAAAATGTAGATGTAAAGTCTCAACACTTGATGGAACTTAAGCAACAGACAACAGTACCTCAATCTTTTTTTACCTGCCATATTCAGCGTGAGGAAGTCATTGTGTGAGACTGATACCACCACTACACTCACTCACCGTTAGGTATTAGTCTGTTGTTCTTATAAGACTCACCTTTCTGTCACCATGAGAAAAGTAATGCTTAAAATGTTTTGATCCTAATAAAAAGTTTTGGGGTTAAGTTTTCCACGAACTTACTATTTCTATTAAGATGCTTAAGAATCTTAAAATACTCATATATATACAGAGAATTAACAAATAAATGCGATTACACTAAGTTGTCTACAAATCAGAATTTTAAGTTTATTTACGTTACACTATAATAAAAGTTATTTAGAATCACTATAGTTATCGGGATGAATAGCGGAGACTTTCTAAATCGAAAAAAAATATTAAGTGTTTCAACATTTGGTGGGTTGAGTTGCCTCAGCGGGAGGGAGAAGGGCCGCCACTACTTAATGAGGGGCAGCTCTTGGTTGTCGCAGACATCCATGTTGTAGTACACGGCGTCCGAGTTGGAGTTGGACGACGTCATAGGCATCGCGGCTCCGTCCGAGTCTGCCTCCAGCCGCAACGACCCCTTTCTGTCACTACGTCTGGCGAAGGCAAGACAGAGTTACTTACATAGGAGGATGAGTTAAAGGGTTATAGTCTGTGGGTCAGGGGCTGATGAGTTAGGGGGTCAGATTAGTGGGTCTGGGGGTCACAGCTAGTGGGTCATGGGGTGATGAGTTGGGGTCACAGTTAGTTGGGTCAGGGGGTCAGTCAGTGGGCCAGGGAGTGATGAATTAGGGGGTCACAGTTAACTGGGTTATGGGGTGATGAGTTAGAGGGTTATGGGGTGATGAGTTAGGGGGTCACAGTTAGTAGGTCATGGGATGATGAGTTAAGGCAGTGGGTCTTACCTTTTTGGAGCTGTTCCCCCGTGGTCAATTTTGAATCCATGGCGCCCCCCACACCTTAATCCCCAAGGAGCAAATATTTTCTAAAGTTTAATTCCACAGCTTCCAATTCCTTTCTAGGTTGGATAAATAAACATACAAGGACATGAAAATACTTTGTGTGAAAACAAAATCACGTTTTTGTAAGAAAAAATCAAACAACACAGAGCATATTACTGTGAGAAAATTTAATACTTTTCTATCAACCATTGTTTCCTAACACATAAAAAATCAGTGAGAATGCTGGCACTGTTTTTTCTCCACAAGCGTTTGAATTCTTGGTGTTGATGCAGATAGTGCACACTGCATGTTATTTTCAACATTCATCCTGTTTTGTCTCTGTCTTCACAGGAACGAGTGTTGAAAAGCCAGCATTACAAAGACATGAGGAAGAAAAGGGGAATGATAGTTTTCAACGCATGCTGACTGAATTTCAAAATAATCTTGGGCTAAAGAATAAAATTTCATCTCCAGGAATTCCTCTTGAATTGTACCAGGCACATCTTCCACATCGATGGCAAATGGATTCCGGATTACTTTCCATTCAAAACTTTTCTCATTAATGTCCGAAAAGTATCGTGTAAGATCTTCCTCCAGAATACCAAGAAGGTTGACAAGGTTGGCTTGGAAACCATCATCCATGTTTTTTCCTTAAGTGCTTCATCAAGCTGTGGGAAGAATGCCACATTCCCACTCTGAACACGACGCCTCCACAAATGAGGTTTGGCGACGAATGCTTGAATAACATCATAGTGTCACATGGTATTCTGGTTCTTGCCTTGGAATTTTCGGTTGAGGAAATTCAAACCCTCAAAAGATACAAACAAGATACGTCAAGGTCATCTGAAAATTGTCAGAACTAAAGACAGTAAGAAGATCCGAGAGCAAATTTCCTTCAGAAAACCAGCGGATGTTCATGTGAAAAAGCAATTCTTGGTGGTCTGCTCCCACGACAGGGCAGAGTTCTGCACACATTCGGGTGTTTAGTGCACTGGCTTTTACAAAGTTAACCACTTTGATAATGGTGGTTTATGAATTTTGGAGTGCTGGAGGGAGTGTTTTAGCTGCCAGTGCCTCACGATGAATGACACTGAGTTCTAACACCCATCAGATTCTTCCGTTTGATTTTGACGACATATCCTGAACGAGAACCAAGCATGGCTGGTACCCCTCTGTGCAAACACCGCCTGATTTTCCCAAAGACAAATCATGTAGTTTAAAAAAAAAAATATTATAAAAAAAAATGGACACTGGCTGACTGCTGCCATAACATCATCAGCCGTTGCAGTTGTTTCCATTGGTCGACAAAACAACATTTCTTCCACTGCTTCACCTGGCGGCTGACTAATTTCCTGACAGGAAATGAGCATGAACCAGTAGCTGAGAACACTATGCCACATCTGTTGTTTCATCACACTGAATGGCAGACATTGATAACAAACCTATCTTTTTGACTACTTGACATTCGTTGATCAACTGGCTACAGACGTGCCACGTTGTATTTTTTGCTTACCTGTTCATATGTCTGGCATTCACTGCGGGAGGCGTGGGAATGGAGGCTCCCACCTTGTCAAGGGGTCAGTAATAATTTATGATTGTATACTATGACAGATGTATTTAAAATTGGATACTTTTATAAATGATAAATTACTTATGAATTTCATTAGGAATATATTTTTCTGTCGGGTACGACGACCATTTCACCCCACTGGAAATATGAAACGCCCCTCACCCTAGGAGGGCGCGCTTCCCAGGTTAAGAACCACTGAGTTAGGTGACAGTCAGTGGATCAGAGGTTGATGAGTTAGGGGGACACAGTTAGTGGATCAGGGGGTGATGAGTGAGAGGGTCATAATTAGGGGGCGATCAGTGAGGTGGTCTACTCAAACTATGACATATCTCTAAGTGGCCGTGCTCATATAACGAGATGGGTTTCTCGAACACAAATTTTATCTAAAAGTGTCACGTGCACCAATCAGAGATATATGTACATATGTAAATATATACGTGCATAATATATTATATAGGGCTTTACATGATATATGAAGTCTTGTCATGACTACAGTAATCTAAAACAACATTACATCGAATCATATGTTTGCATAGTACTGACAGGGAAGGGAAATTATCTTATTACAGGGAAAGAAGATGAAAATCAAGGAATTGTCTTACATATGTTACGTATTACCGGAACCTCTAGTTAACAGTATGGTGATTTACTCCAGTTCTTCCAATGATTACTTGATAAATTAGTAGAAGTTTCAAAACCATAGACCAGGCAAAGTGTAATCAAGGTAATAACACTTAATTAAATAGTTATCAATTAAGTATTGTAGAGGGCAGGGCAAATAATAATAATAATAATAATAATAATAATAATAATAATATTAATAATACAGTAATAATAATAATAATAATAATAATAATAATAATAATAATAATAATAATAATAATAATAATAATAATAATAATAATAATAATAATAATAATAATAATAATAATAATAATAATAATAATAAACCCTAGATGCAAATTAGAACTTAACATAAGTACTCGCACTGAATAATCACACAAGTACAAGGTTAGACTAAGAAATCACTTATAAGAATGATAGAGGATGATTTTCCGGGCATTTGCACCAAGAACCACATATGTAAAGATAATGATTCACTTCAGTTATAGTAAGATGCCCACATATTGGCGACAGTATAAGTACAAAAGTAAATGTATGTATGTCTCATCACTGATAATCACTCACCTTTACACTGTAGGTAGGAGAGCTTTCATAAAACACTTATTTCACAAATGCTATAACTAAGGGTGGATCAGATCTCTAAGACAAAAGAGTAAGGACTTAGCATGTAAGATGCGCCGATAATTATGTAGGTTGGACACACGAAGGACTCATAGGTAGACCCATAGTCCTGGAGAGTGGAGAGAGGCGACCCATCAACCAAATACTGTATGGGTTTTCATATTAAGGTAGGAAGGTGGGAGAGTGAATGCCCTCCTTGGTCTGTGCGTCGGCTTATAAAACCTCGTTTGGGTGTGGCTTGTTGATGACGTGACTTTCGATTGTGAATTATGATTGGCGGAATTCATGGCAGGCTGAAGTTACTAAGTGGCTCCTTCCCACGCTGGTTTCATTTGCTAGAGGAATTTTTGATGCGCTATATGATGAAGCTATCTGAATACGTGACACATACAGTACATAATGATAAAAAAAAACCATGAAGGTTATTTATATAATACTAAATAACAGAGAAAACAAAGCAGTGTGGTCAATGTACCGACCTGGATTTATCGAAGAAGGAAGTGGGTCTGGGACGTCTAACTGCTGGCAGGACTTTACCCCGACGAGGCAACTTCACGAAACACATGCGGTAAGTCCTGTTGACTCGGCAATGGCACACTCCCACCTGCAATACCCACACCAGTTTAATCTCTCACACACACACGCACACACACACACGCACTCACACACACCTTGAGGTTTACTTGGGAAGAGGTGTTTCAACAGTAGGAATGATGTAAAAGCATGATTGTAAATATTAAAAACAAAATCTGTCATAGAATCAGTCATAACAAGCACCTATTCACTCGAAGACCTTGAAAACCACTTATTATTCTAGAGTTTTCTAATTTCTTTTTCAGTCACCCATCTCTCACTTCCTCCATAATCGACAATTCATTGCCTTCGCTTTCTCTTTTCTATTGCTCACCTGACACACCACCCAATTGACACCCCACCCAATTGACTCACCATCTAATTGCCTCACCATTCAAATAACTCTTCACCCAACTTATTCACCACTCATCTTAGTTACCAAACTTTTGACTCACGACTCATTAACTTACCACGAGCATAAATATGAGGAGAGCCGAGGCGAGAGTCGCAAAGGCCACGTAGATGTTCTTCATATGGTTGAGTGGCTTGCCGCTGTGCTGGTGAACATCAAGAGCCACGGGTTCCACAGTGCCTACTGCCCCCACCGTCTCTGGCACTGCTTCGTCTACACCAGGGCAGTGACAAATGAGTATATTATTATTGTTGTTAGAGAGAGAGAGAAAGGATTGTGTTATACATCAAGATATGGAATCACTTGTGAAAGCTGTGAGCAGGACTGTAGGAGGATGTGAACTGTGAGAGAGGGTGAAGTGAACACAATAATAAAAAAAAACGAGCATTGAAATGTTAAAAAAAAAAAAAAAATCATAAAAATATGTTCTTGAAGGTTACTAAAAATAATAATTACAAATGAAAATAATAAAAATGAGAAAAGCTATAAGTAAAATAATTGTAAACAAGAATAAAATACAAAATAGATACCGAATAAGTAAAGAACTAAGGGATGAAATCTTTAGAAATGGAGGGAATGAAAAAGAAAAGTGATATTTCTATCATAATCAACAATAAAATCCAAGTGCTTTCACCATTAGAAAAAGTAAACACAACTGGTTCAAAGTGAAAGATGGATAAAACAAACAAACTTGGATAAAATGAGTAATTGACGGCATCAGATATTAACCGTCAAACAAGTTACATGCACATTAATTAATTTATGGCAAGGTGGTAGAGATCCTTCAGTGTTCAGTGTCTCAGGTGATAAGGAGCTTCAGAGAGCAATTTTCTTTATAATCAGGAAATAAATATAATTGAGCGTTGGCGGGAAGATCATGCAGGAAGTCTACACCCTATTACACTATACATGCTAGGTGTGTGTATATGTAAACGTGTGTGTGTGTGTGGGGTGTGTGTGTGTGGTGTGTGTGTGGTCCACTACACCACATATGCCAGAGAGAAAGAGATAATGTGTGTGGTAGAAGGTATGTATTGTTTTACATCAAGCTACACACCACACATGCTATACAGAAGCTTCCCCAATGGATAATAATTTTAAATCATAATCGAGAGGCAAAATTCATGAATTGTATTGTGTAAACTTGTGTTCTCAACATCTCGGTCATTGCTCTCATATCCGGGGAGGATGTTAATAGTGATGAAAATAATGTTATTACACATTAACTCGCCAAAAACAATTAATAGGGGATCACCTGAAGATTAATCCCAGTTTTATTTTATTTTTAACCGGGCTTAGCCCACCCGGGCACAGGTAACTGACCCACATCGGGGCTTGGAGGGCGAAAATATTATGATAATAATAATAATAATAATAATAATAATAATAATAATAATAATAATAATAATAATAATAATAATAATAATAATAATAATAATAATAATAATAATAAAAGTCAGAAACGATATTATGTGTTGTGTTGTCAAAGTAAGTGAAACACTTGAGACCCTGTAATTGTGTGTAAATGAGGCAGAAAGTTCGATCAGCAACCTGGGACTTGGTGAAAATTTTTGTGATGCCATATGGCAGCAGGGTCTACCATTAGACAATACATTATGCTTCCAATATCTTCCAAGGAGGTAGTACCTCCCTGTTTGGTAGCTGCCTACTACCTGATGAGTTAAGTTAGGTTAGGTTAGGTTAGGTTAGGTTCGGTTGGGTTGGGTTAGGTTTGATTATGTTATGTTAGGTTTAGTCGGTGTAAGGGTGGTTATGTTAAGGTACAATAAGCTTGGGTTATCTTCAGGTGATCCTTAATATCAATAAAACCTTAGTACTTCGTCAGTGTATCAACATTTTAGTGTTTTGTCACGTAGTCTAGGGGATCTATAAATGACATTTATTTACAATAATCTTTCTTTAGACGTATAGACATTATTGTCATCGTGATACCTGTTTACACATTATATACCTACTTACAACCGTTTTATAAATCTGTCTCCTATTATATACTTTAATCTTGTGTATTCTTCTGTTGTATAATCTGTCTCTGATAACCCTTCTTCATATCTGCCACACTCGTGTTCACACCCACCTGACAGCAGCTCTAATATACGGAGCATTTGTGAGGGGCAAAGTGCTCTTCCCACAATACCAAACTCCTCGGTAGGGTCACCCTCTTGATGGCAGTTTCGAAGTTTACTACATAGCAGATTTTCTGGTTATTTGTACTGTCATTTTCATCCAGTAGCATCTCTCTATAGACATCATATTCTTAACAATATTTACCATTTCGTCGGCCACCTTCAACTTCAATACAAAACCTAAAGGTTATACCGGGTAGGCCTATACCTATGTTGTGGTACTAACTGGATATTTCCTCTCCAGACCTCATACCTCTCGGCTTCTACAATTGGTACGGTGATATATAAGAATCCATTCTGTCGACGTTTTCACCCCCTCCCCCACACCTACATCATCACATCATGAGAACATACAGGTATATGTATCCCAGTATCTCTCCCACATCACTACAGCAGCTAAGACTATATTAGGACTTGTGGTTGGTATTATTCCGTCATATGTACTCTTGTCACGGCCAAGATCTTCAGTGTATTTTGAAAAAGCATTTCAACCTGTATTTATAACAATGCCACTTTAGCTTCAGGTAACAACTTAATCCTTTGTCAGTTGTTCCTCCGTCTGGCTTTACAAGACACGATGGCACCACCTCTTGTGTGTGTGTGTGTGTGTGTAGCTCTTCAAGGTGTCTATACGTGCAATATTTATACTCTAATATTACGTGTATATCAAATGCAAGACGTGGCAAAAGACTATACACACACCAAGGATGCTGAGGTTAATTAACATGCCGTAACTCTTGCGTTGATCATGCAGAATGGATAATCTTGCGTAAATATCATTACAAAATAAAACGAAGTGCGTGATAAGCTGAAACTTACGAAGGATGGGGCAGAGAAATGCACAGCCAAAATACTGAGGAAGAAGGAACATGCAAGAGTGAGTGACGAGGGCCAAGAGGGAAGGGACACACCTGGGCGGGCATATGTGGACCACTTACAACACACCTGCACATGGACACATCTCTCTATGGACACATCTAATCCAACAAAGGCACAAAGCAGAAGCAACCGAGACCCCATCTACGTGAGGGGGGGACCGTTGGGGTGGCAGCGGCTACTGTTCTCCCTCACATGATAACACAGGACACAGGGAGAAGCTGGCCACACCACTCAGTGTAAACATCAAACAAGGTCAACACAACGAATGGAAACTATATAAAGGATTACGTGTGTGAGTGTATGTGTGTATGTGAGTGTGTCTCTGTATGTGTGTGCGTGTGTGTGTGTGTGCGTGTGTATGAAAAACCAGACAACATATATGAAAATACAACATCTGAGTGAGGTGACATGGGAACGCATTGATTGTGAACATTAAATAAGGTTCATGTGAGCATTAGACCAGGTTCATGTGAGCATTAGACCAGGTTCATGTGAGCATCAGACCAGGTCCATGTGAGCATTAGACCAGGTCCATGTGAGCATTAGACCAGGTCCACGTGAGCTTGTAGGGATGCATATAAACAACACAACAGCAGGTCTGGTATACGTGAGTGTGGTTGCACTTGGTCAGTGTCTTATTAACTAGACAAAAACCTTCAATTGATATTATAATACTTCTCTCCAACACCATTATTACTTATACTATTACTTATATGATGGTATTATGTTTATAAGGACACTAATAATAATATTATTAATAATAAAAAGAGGAATAATAATAATAATAATAATAATAATAATAATAATAATAATAATAATAATTTTATTATTGTTATTATTATAATTATTATTAATATTATTATTAAAATGAGTTAATAATAATAATAACAGCAATAGGATTAATAATAATAATAATAATAATAATAATAATAATAATAATAATATGGACAAATCGTAAAAATATTTACGGTTAACAAACATAACACATATTGTTGATCACGTTAAGGTGTCAACATATGGGTAAACAGACAGGAAGAGTGCGAAAGCCTTTATGTCACACACAAACACACATTATAACACAGAAATACTAAGATAATCAGTTTTATGAAAGGACAGTAAAATTTGATACAACACAAGGTATAATAGTAAATGTTAGAACATTATTTAACACAGTAAATTAGACTTAATAAATGGCAGTAAATTTTCATAGATATGGGGTGATGCATTAGGGGGAGAGGAGTACCTGGGAACCTTGATAATTTCACTCTGATGTCTCCTCTTCACTCACAACACACGTGTCCTCGAAATCACACAATAAATTACATAAATATGGGGTACAGATCTACTGTATAATGGTGATTTTTCTAATTGATATATATATATATATATATATATATATATATATATATATATATATATATATATATATATATATATATATAAAGTTCATTTTCACGAGTGTGTGTGTGGTGCTATTTGCATATAATAGGTTTCGATTTTCAGTACAAGGGATATGTGTGTGTATTGTGTATGTGTATATACATTGTATGCAAACATAAATAGTTGAGTGCTTGTGTATGTTTTGACCTTGTATATATATATATATATATATATATATATATATATATATATATATATATATATATATATATATATATATATATATTTATATATATATATATATATATATATATATATTATATATATATATATATATATATATATATTATATATATATATATATATATATATATATATATATATATATATATATATATATATATATATATATATATATATATATATATATATATATATATATATATATATATATGTGTGTGTGTGTGTGTGTTTGTAAGCGTGCATGTAAACGAAAAGTATTCATTAAATTGTCATAATCATGTTAGTTTAACATTGTTATACACAAAAACAATTTAATTAGTGTATATTGTTTACCTTTCTGACTGTACTTTCAGGTGACTTGAAAACTCAAGCAATTATGACGCCTTGGCCTTTGTAAATTATCATGTTTGTTTGATTGTCTGCGACGTAACCCGAGAGGTGACAATCTTCATTTTATATATTTGACATAATTATACTGCCTGTATTTACATAACTTCCCCGTCAAAAGTAAAGGTCAAAGCTTTGAAGTACTACACGGTGAGAGTTAGCATCTGGCTTTGAGTGCAATCCGGTTGTTTATGTTCTTCCTGATAACGCACGCGATGGGTGGCTTTTGTCATAGACGTCTTTAAATAAGAAATGAATACGAGCGAACTCGGGGTTTGAAACTTGGGTCCATTGCTTAATTGCATCATCAGGAAAGCAGTTGTCTCTCAGACACACACACAAATACCGACCCCCACACACAGATTCACATTCAAAACACTTCTACTTTTCCACACAACCACCCATAACCCCGCCATAATTACTCCTTAAACGACATCTCTCGCCCCCGCCAGGAACATCGTTGTACGAGTTGATCGTGCATCAGTCGTCCAGTTAACATTTTGTTTGATGAAGTTAAGCTTAAGCAGGCCTTTAGAGTTACAGCGGAGCATATAGTTGGCAATGCATCAAACAAACAAGAAAATCGAGCAACATCAGCTCTTGCTATTGAAGTTGTTTGTCAGTATGGAGGACCACGATACATCATACAAATTCATCCTGTATCGGGGTTGAAAGCTGTTCAAGTGAAGGAAATGTTCCATGAAGCTATTTATGTTGTTAAAGCTACTATAGTGGTGGGCATCCGGTAACGTTTGTCTGTGACAGCTGTCCAATGAATCAAGCTGTATAAACACAGCTTGGTGGTCCTGGGAATGTAACAGTAGCACCGGATGGTAAAGTGTGTTCCTTGTGTATGATTATGTTCACATTCTAAATAATCTGAGAAACAACTGGGTCACAGAGAAATACCAACAATTATATTTCACCGAGGATGGTACAGAATATTTGGTGAGTAGGAGTGATGGTAAAGCTCTTTATGACGAAGATCAGAAAACACTACTTCGTCTCACAAAACTCACACCTAAACATCTGCAGCGTCAAAGTGCGCCCTTAGTTTTTCAAGTGTTCAATGAGAAAATAAATGCTGCATTTAAAGCTCTGAAAGGCACTGTTCATTATCTGGATGGAACAGTGAGATACATCACACTGGTAACAAATTGGTGCAAAATGACGAATGCTAAAATTAAATACAGTTCAATTCGGTTACAAGATCAATAAATATCGTGAACCTTGGACATTCAACTGTGAAAACTTCAAAGAGCTGCAAGAAATGTGCAAGGCTATTTCCAGCTGTCGGTGGACTGGTGGACATGGCAGACAGAAAAACCTAACACAATCAACAGCAGATGCTTCTGTTACCACAACAAAGTATAACAAAGAAGCAGCACAATACTGTATCTTTTTGAAAACCATGGCTTTACTACTTTACATCCCAACTGCTGTTCTTTTCACAAGATTCCCTTGAATTTTTTTGGGGGGACAAGCAAGATAACGTAGTGAAAGAAATTTATACATTGATATTGGGATCTTCAAGCAGCAGCAGCATCACCCAAAGTACAGCAGTTGCACCAGTTGTTAACATTCTTCCTGAGGGTACACATGACGCAAGCTGTGAATTGTGTACAGCAGCAATAGATGATAGTAAATTACAACTCCTGGAAGAGCTAATATTACATGACATTCAGCTCCTTTAGATTAGAATGATAGCTTAAAACATAAAACTGTCTACGTTGTAGGGTTTCTAGTTCATAATCATGGACTGCCAGAAGTAAATTCTGGGGATTGTTTGTCATCAGAGCTTGTGAATGAGCTCGATCGAGGTGGTCTGAGTATGCGAACACTGGTTACTGTCTTTTTTCTACACAATGAAGTTACTCTTAAATTGTCTCTTCAAGACTCGAAAAAAATATTATCGCAATTACTTGAAAACATGTCTGTCACATGTAGATGCTCCTCTGACTCATCAATTAGAAGCCTGCAAAACATGTGTAATGTGTTATCCAAAGCCTTTGTGTTTAATACTAGTGATCGTGAGTGCACACTGGGCTGCTTAAGACGGCAAGAGAAACTTTCTGTGCTTTGAGTTGTTAATTGTGTCAAGTGATTATAGATAGAACTTCATTTGTAAAGGACGTTTCTTTATACTTTTGCCTTATACTTAGATAGTGTCAATCATATAAGGAAGTTTGGATTGTATAACTTTGTTTTATTTGTGTATAACAGTATTTTATAAAATGCTTCATTATAATTATTATTCTTTTAAATAGTTTCTCAAGTTAATAAGAGATTAGACGAAAAAAAACCTCATATCGAGTACAACTGAATTAAGACAAACCTGTGGACCCGTTAATGGACCCAAGTTCCGGGACCCGAATACGTCTTTGGCTTCTGTTCTTTATTTCTAACGCCGTGGCAGTCAAGGACACGTGATGGTGTGGGGCGGGGGTGTGGGGGACGGTGATGATGACATGAGGAGTACATGTATTAAAAACTGCTCTAACACCTACTCCTCCTTATCTGCTGTACCCGCCCTTGTATGCAATTTCATACTAGCTATCACAACCACTATTACCTATCTTAACACATGCTTCCTAATGTAAAGGGTCCCCTTACTGGTCACGTTTCTTAAATGCGCTACTCCGTAATTCTAGCAGGTCTCGTACCAGTCAGCCACCTGCCACGACTTATCCACAGTCTCCTTCGTGGTATCTGGTATCGCTAGCTTTCTTTTTCGGTCTCTATCTATATTATCTCTGTATTTTGAGGCTGACCTAATACTACGACTATCTCCTAATTGCTCTCTCACTTTTTCCTGGCTAGCCGTCCTCAATCTTAAAACTGGCAGTTCTTTTTCGTTTTTGCGCTTTACTTAGTGGTCCCCTGTACTACCAGCTTAACTTAACTAAGTGGTCCCCTGTACTATCAGCCTAACTAAGTGGTCCCCTGTACTACCAACTTAACTAAATGGTCCCATACACCACCAGCTGAACATAACTAAGTGGTCCCCTGTACTACCAGCTTAACCTAACTAAGAGGTCCGCTGTACTACCAGCTTAACTAAGTGGTCCCCTACACCACCAACTGAACATAACTAGGTGATCCCCTTTACTATCAGCTTAACCTAACTAAGTGGTCCCCTGTACTACCAGCTTAACCTAACTAAGAGGTCCGCTGTACTACCAGCTTAACTAAGTGGTCCCCAACACCACCAACTGAACATAACTAGGTGATCCCCTTTACTATCAGCTTAACCTAACTAAGTGGTCCCCTATACCAGTGGTAGGCCACATGCTGCCTATCAGGCTTCTGAGTGCGGCCCACGAGACATGATATTAGTCTATTTTCTGGCAATTATTAAATATTTCTGTAATTTTGGATGATTTATACTAACATCATTGGATATTAATATTTAAAAAAAAATCACTGATAATTTTAATTGGATTAACTTAATTATTTAACATATTTAGATTCACACAAAGTAAGCCTATTTATTTTTGATACGGCAACACTTCATGATCAACACAGTGTTCTACTGCCGGTGGTTGTGGGAGGTTGTGCTTAACTATGATGTATTGTTAGGTAATCGTAAATAGGTACATGTATTGTACACCGCCCCCACCTCCCCAGTTTCGTCTTCAGGTGTTGTCGTAATATGGAAGGCAGTGTACGAGTAGTGAACGTACCATGACTTGTTTCTTCATAACTCATTATGAAAGAATTGGCCTGTGTTAAATGCATTTATGGTTGTTCGTGGGGTCATGGTTAGTGTACATACCAAATTTCAATCATGCGGCCCACTGAGATGATGTAGGGCTACTCATGTGGCCCCTCACCAGTCCCGTCACTGCCCTTCACTACCAGCTTAACTACTATATACTGTTTCCCTACACTGTCAGCTTAACTATAGTAAATACCCCGTTCGATCCCCAGCGGGCACTGGAGGCGCCTTGCAGGTAGGGGGAGGGTGGGCTTGCTCCTTGCTCTTATAGATGCCCCACTCTACCCCCCGCGCGGGCAGCTCGGGCGCCGTGCAGGTGAAAGTGGTGGGCGTGCCCCCTGCTCTTGGCTTGCGTCACTCACCGTGTAGGTCCTGCAGGATACCTTGACATGTAGTACCGGTGAAGCCCGGTCGGCAGGCACAGAAAAAGAGACGAGCCTCGGGTACGATCCAGCAGGTGCCACCGTTGTCACAAGGGTTGGGGGAGCACAACTGTGAACAAACGACTGTTAGTACACAGCCAACACTTCCTAGAACGCATCAGAGAGTCAGGTTTACAAAACACTAAATATTTGCACAAAGCGTAATCAATATGAAAGTGTATCGTCAGCAGATGTTACAGATTTATAATAATATTCATAGTGAGCATGACTATGTATACCTGTGTGTGTGGGCCACCACCGACTTGTGTGTGTGACCATCACCTATTGTACCTGTGTGTGTGGGCCACCACCTACCTGTGTGTGAGGGCCACCACCTGTGTGTGAGGGCCATCACCTACCTGTGTGTGTGAGGGCCACCACCTAACTGTGTGAGGGCCACCACCTAACTGTGTGTGGGCCACCACCTAACTGCGTGTGTGTGTGGGCCACCACCTAACTGTGTGTGTGTGTGTGTGTGTGTATGGGCCACCACCTACTTGTGTATGTGGGCCACCACCTACCTGTGTGTGTGTGCGCCACCACCTACCTGTGTGTGGGCCACCACCTACCTGCATGTGTGTTGGCCACTACCTACCTGTGTGTGTTGACCACCACCTACCTGTGTGTGGGGCACCACCTACCTGTGTGTGGGCCACCACCTACCTGTGTGTGTGGGCCACCACCTACCTGTATGTGTGGGCCACCACCTACCTGTGTGTGTTGGCCACCACTTACCTGTGTGTGGGCCACCACCTACCTGTGTGTGTTGGCCACCACCTACCTGTGTGTGGGCCACCACCTACTGTACCTGTGCGTGTAGACAATCACCTACTTGTATGGGGACTTTTACATTACCTGTCTGTGGGGGCCACAGTTGTCCTCGCTTAAGCCAGTTAGACACTCACAGGAGTAGTTGTTGCCTTTGTCAACACAGACACGGTTGGCGGGGCATGGATCCGGTGAGCACAAGTCGTACTGTGGGAGTGAACTCCATGTTAACTCGTAGTGAGCAGTTGAACACCGTCTTAAATTGTATTGAACACTATCTTAACTAGAATTGAACACTATCTAAGTTAAAAGTGAACACCATCTTAAGATGTGAACAATTGAACACCATCTTAAGATGTGAACAATTGAACACCATCTTATATAGTAGTACTGTGGGAAGAAAACTATATAATTACGAAACTTCCTTCTCCTCCTCCACACGCCTACAGTGGGGCAGCCAGCACAGTACTCCACACCTCCCCCCATATCCACCTCTTTCCACTCTTCATTTATTCGAACAAAATTATTTTTGTTCTGGTGGAAGGAGAGATTCTTCAAGGTTTTCCTCCCTCCGCATATGACACAAAATTCCCTGAGCCGAGTCTTCACCACTGCAAGATGAACTAAATAATGGGATACTTGATAACAACTCCAACTTTTCCTATGTAAGATTCTCGGATTATATTATCATTGGGAACATTTGTGTTTCTGAGACGAGGAAATAACGTGATTGTCTCAATAAACTGAATCTATTTTGGATGATATGAAGATCAGCACCTTCAGCTTATTTCACCTGATGATTAGTTTGGATTATTTTAGGTTACATTAAGCTAGGTTAGGGTAGCGTTAAGGTCTTTAACCATTCGGTGAAATAAGCTGGGCTAGGTAATTTTCATATGATCCGTTTACTGTAACAAAACTTTTCCTCTGCATGGACTTTTCTACTGTGGAAATATTGATATTCTGAAGTTCAGTGTTTACAGTGCCACTATGAATCACAATGCACCAGGATACATAAATTACGTATATACTCGCATATTTTTGCACCCCCTCGGCTGCCAGAGATAATAAGGCGTCGTCTCATGTCTCGTAATGTCTGTGTCTCTTATACATGTATATGTGAATTAGAAAATTACTATCTGCAGTGGAAGCTTGTTAAGCAAGAAAACTTAAATTTTAATGGCATAATTGATTTGTCTGCGAGCCGTAAATCCCGAAGAACGTATTTTGAATAGAAGCATAACTCAAATTCTATTTGTATAAAAAAGTTTCTTTATTTGTTGTTGCTATATTACTTTGTGATTTTTAAATGTTGCCAATTTCATATCTTCTACTGTGTCCATTTCTTGTTCGTGTCACGATCATATGCACCGTTGGCGGATTATTTGGTATATATTTTGATTTTTAAATCACCGAGTCTAAAACTTCAGTATTTAAGAGTTGATATCACCATTATACATTCGAAAATTTGTTTCATTTTATTTTTGTTTCAATAAAAAAAATAAGGACATCGTTAGTGTCTTTTTATTAATTTATCTACACTCTGCACCTTACAAATGTGATACACCTTTTTTGATTTTCGGTAGAAGGGGAGAGGGGGCCCGACAATGTGACTAGTCCCGGGGCCCGGGTTGGCTGGCTACGCCCCTGGCATTAGATAGGATACTGATGGCATTCATGACACTTAACATACTGTACAGTACCCTAATCAATTTAATCATCACATGAAGGTCATTCCACCAACCTTAACTTGGCAATGTAGTCCAGTGTAGCCTCGTCCGCACTTACAGAGATAGTTGCCCACTTGGTCGATGCAGATGCCGCCGTTCACACACGGATTCGACTCACATTCGTTGTACTCGAACTCGCAGTGTTCACCACCGAAACCTGTGAAGGGCAAAATGGGCAATCAGTTGTTTCTAGCCAGACTCACTGATACGTTTACGATTGTAGAGTGTCCACAAAGAATCATTCAAACTATAATATGTTCTAATACATGTGCTCCGTGCTCAGTGTCTCTAAGAAAAAAGAAATCCCGTACAGCGCACAGATTTTCGTGGAGATCGTGTGAACACTTGTACAGTATTACAACACCAACATTGTCCTCTCTTGTGAGAGACCTTACACATTAACAAGTGAGGACAATGATTCCGTAGTAATACAGTACAAGTCGCCTATCCACGCGATGTCCACCAAAATCTGTAAGGCACTGTGTAAACCTTTTTATACACGTACTTGGACTTCAATATACAAACAATACCTCATTAGTCAAGAATCGAACCCGGGAACTTTGCGTGTGAACAGGGATCGATTGCTACCATGGTAACACAAGGTTTTTCTGGTGCCTTGCTTGCGATTCATGTTCACACGCAGAGGTACCTGGTTCAATTCCTGAATAATGAGGCATTATATATATATATATATATATATATATATATATATATATATATATATATATATATATATATATATATATATATAATTTTTTATATTAATCTACACCAGTGAGACAGATTGTATGAGTATGGAAACATAGAAGTAGGCAGAGCATTCCACAATTTGGCTGTGTGAGGAAAGAAGGAGGTACTATATATATATATATATATATATATATATATATATATATATATATATATATATATATATATATATATATATATATATATATATATTATATATATATATATATATATATATATATTATGTGGAATATACACATTTTTGCTTTATTTTTGTAATACATCTGATTCCTTGGTACAGACCTGTATTTGTATAGTTACACTTACATAATCACGGGTCACGGTAAATTCACATTAAATTAACCAAATTAGGACAATGCCAACTTGAGTACGACTTCACCTCATCGTCAAGTACGATGTCTTAACCCTTTGAGGACAATAACATCGAATTCAATAAGTTAAGTCATCGTGCTCGAGGGGTTATTTTCGTACTTAAGGGGTTAAGTCAACGTGTTCGAGTGTTAAGTCATCGTACTCTGGGGTTAAGTCAAATTACTAAAGTTAATCAAAGTACTCAAGGGGTTAAGTGTCCGTACTCAGTGGATTATCATATTACTTAGAAGTTTAAGTCACCGTACTCAAGGAGTTGCCCTTTAGAGGCCACACTTAGGTATTATGTTCTGGCTAACACCAGACGTTATTATTCAGCTTAGAGAAACTCAGTGGGTTAAGTCATTCTACTCAAGGGATTCAGTTATTGTATTTACTGTGTTATATCATCGTACATGGGGTGAGTCATCGTACTCAGTGGGGGTCAAATCATCGTATTCAAGGGATTAAGGAACCGCACTAAAGGTGTGAAGTCATAGCACAGTGGTTAGGTAATCGCGATCGGGGGTTTATATCATCGTACCCAAGTTAAGTCATCGTACTTGGAGTTAAATTATCGTAGTCAGGGGTTTGTTATCATATACAGTGGCTTAAGTCATCGTACGGAGTGGTTCAAGGTATCGTACTCAAGGGATTTAATTCATCGTACACAGGGGTTTTAAGTCATCGTACTCAAGGGGTGTGTAGTGGACGTCTCCCCTACAAACTGCGTAGCAGCCCACCACCTGCTATCACATTCCAACGTGCCGTTGCCTAGCAACGAAACTATTCACCGGCGACTTCTCGGCGACTTCTCGGGTTTTCCCAACATGACTCATAGCGGCTGCTGCTGGGTATATAAGCTCTGTCTCTCCATTGAGATTCATTCTGACCATTCTTCTTGAACAAGCAACACCTCCTCCTCCGCCGCTGCCTGGCAGCCCCTCGCTCCTCCTCTGCCCCTGCCTGGCGGTCCTCGCTCCCGCCAGCGAGCATGGCGACCCACCAGCTGTCCTTCTCTGAGCTTCCTCACCAACCAACTCACATTCTGCCCATTTTCCTGAACAAGCAACACCTCCTCCAGCAAGCTCCTAGCTGTTAACATTTATTCAACCAGGAGGCCAGCAACAGGCAACATCTTCTCTAACAAAGCTCCTGCACATCTACCTCCTTCAACACGCTACTCACAGAACGTCTTCTACTGAGCAGCTCCCCACCACACGGCATCTCCAGCACCAGACTGTCTTCATATAACTTATATATTATACAAGAAAACCACATTAGAGTTTCCTTCCATCCTGAGTGCTAGACAACATTAATATCTCGATACCCCTACAGGTGCATTAAAACTGTAGAAGAACTTGGCTTAATATGGTGTACAACTTAACCATAACTTCATACTGAATATTTATGTTAAATTTTCTGGAATGTACAATACCTCCTACCTTCTGCTACCCCAGTGAGTGCATGATACTTTGTTGAGTTAGAAAGTGGAGGGAGTTGGGATGTTCCGGTCAACACACACACACACATAGGGGTACCACCTCTGGTTGTGTGTACAAAAAAGTAAAGCGTTCTCTGGTTCTTTTCATGAAAATAAACCAAATAAATAAAAGAACTACCAAGAAGGAAAAGAATTTAATATTCGGCACGCTGTCATCGTGCCGTTAAAGCGGACAAGACCGCTCCACTCTAATTGGAACAATGGCGGCGTCACAGCTTTACAGCCCCCCCCCCACCCCCGGCTATATAAATGGCCAGGGGTGACTTTATTTTTCTCTCCTGGATGATGTTATGTTTAATGGAGTAGGCTGTTTTCTTCGCCGCACTGATCCTTCAACAAACTCATTAAAAACATAAATGTTCGAAACGAAAAAAAAGTGCATGAAAATTTGCGATCACACAAGAAATTGCACTATGAGATGAGAAACACACCAACAATATGAAAATACCCCAAAACAAGTAAAATCTCGAGAAAACTCATGAAAATATGCGAAAATAAATTGAAACACCTTGAAACACGAAAAACCGCGAAAAAAATGAAAATACACGAAAATATGTGAAATCCCCCTTGAGTAACAGTTATCATTGTTTGAATAACATTAATCATGGGTCGAGTAACCGTTATCATTGGTCGAGTAACAGTTATCATTGGTCGAGTAACAGCTATCATAGGTGTAGTAACAGTTATCATTGGTCGAGTAACAATTATCATAGGTCGAGTAACAGTTATCACTGGTCGATTGACACCTACAATTAAAATAGTAACTTACCATTCACTTTCTTTGTGTGTGTGTGTGATCTCAACAACTCACCAGGCTGACAGAAGCATCTGAACCCCTCCTTAGTCTCGAGACAGACGCCGTGGGGACAGGAGTCCTTGTCGCAGTAGTGGACAATGTTGGTGCGCTGGGAGCACTGGGGGCCCGTCCATCCCTGAGTACAGTGGCACGTATAACTGGTATGGGTGCCCGTACAGGTGGCGCCGTTGTTGCAGGGTCCGGAGTCACACAGGTTCGTCTCCTCCTCACAGTACCTCCCTCGATAACCTGTTGGAGTGAACGGTGAGAGAGAGAGAGAGAGAGAGAGAGAGAGAGAGAGAGAGAGAGAGAGAGAGAGTATCTAACAAAAGGAATATAACGTTAACAAGATACATACCAGTTATCATTAAATGGCAATTATACCAGCTAATGAACATAGATTTATCGAACACTGATTTTTATAAGTAAAAAAAATACACACTGTATATAAACAGATATTACTGCTCAATTAAGCCTCTAAACGCCATTAACGCTTTTTGCCAAATCTTTGTGTTATAAGTTTTTGGAAATTACTTTCGACGAGATCTTTTACAAATTACCGCGTCGTAATATAGCAGTTCATTTCTGATGTGTATCTCCACATGAACACTGACTATTATCTGCACAACTTTGCCTTCTATTCATCCAAGTTTTGGAATTATCTGGTCTGGCGAGAACATTTCCTACACTATCTCGAGATTCGCTCTCTTTCAATATCTCGCTTCCGATTTTCAACCTATGAAGTTCAGATTAATCCCAGACAGCCAGGTCTCTCACACCAGTGTCGCCACCAGCAGCGAGTCCAATCAGGCGTACCTCATACACTTTCTGGGCTTTCTGATAATTTCAAGGAGAGCAGGAAATGTGGCTTCAAATTTCCATATATATGAAACGTAGATAAGCCTGCGTACGCTGACATTTTGGTAGTCATACGCCAAGGCCCAAGGGTTCTCATATATATATATATATATATATATATATATATATATATATATATATATATATATATATATATATATATATATATATATATATATATATATATATATATATATATATATATATATATATATATATATCAACAGTCCATATACACGCAGACTTCCATATTCAAACAATATCTCACTAGTCGAGAAATCGAACACTGGACCTCTCCGTGTGAACAGGGATCCCTACCTCCACGCCACAAGGACAACAAATAGCAATTCTTGACTTTTTTTATTTCACACAAAGACTGTTTATTCGTATTATTCTTAAACACTGGACAATCCCGATGGAGGTTCACGTTGCTTGAGAATAAGGTGAATGAGCAATCTTTGTGTGAAATAAAACAAAGCCTAGGATTGCTTTTGTTGTCTTTGTGGCGGGATGGTAGAGATCCCTGTTCAGAAGCGGAGGATCAGGGTTCGCCTAGTGAGGTATTGTTTGTTAAGGCTGTATAAAATGGACACGAAGTAGTACCTTAAGCTGTGTATTCTTATCTTACTCTATTAATTATGTATAGTAAAGTATTACAGAACATTTATTAATCCTATGTAATATTTCCATTTATTATGCACCATTTTATGTATGTGAATTATCATATTTACATATTATGTATTCAGCTTGTGAATGCTGGCATCTGTACATGCCAGCACGGAGTGATACAGAGAGTTGAGATCACTAGTCCTTATGGTATGGAAGCCAGTTTCTTTGTTCCTCTGTATTTATCACCCTTATGAGAATAAGAACCTATTTTCAAGGTAACAAGTGTTTGCGTATACCCTCCATAGTGTAGAACATTTTCGGGGTATCAAAGAAAAACATAGATGGCGCAGTGAGATTTCTCAGTGAGATTCAGAGTGAATTCAGCCTTCCCGCTGGACTGTGTTAATGGCGTCTCGTCTTCAGCTTCGCCAAGGATTTACAGCCAGACTACAAGCCTCAGGACTTACAGTGTTGTGAAGTGCTATGCTGTGTACAGTGCTGTGCTGTGAAGTGAAGTGTTCTGTGAAGTGCTGTGTTGTGTATTTTAATCAGAATTGTCTGTGCAAACTGCAGTCAGATGACTGAGGGAGCTGCCCAGCAGTACATCCCCTCCCGCCTACGGTCATTGGGTGACTGAGCAGCAAGCAGTAAGACGGTTCAGTTGCGACTTGCGCCCAGCTGCCTCTACGTCTGGCAGCGCGCCAAGCCTCCCGGCAACGAGCCATACACACACACACACGCACTCACAGGCCCTTATATTAAATTCTTTATTACTTTAGACTTCTGTAATTCTGTGCATAGATTACGAGGGGTTGACCCGGTCTCTTGCACAGATAGAGTACAGAAGCTGTCAGCATGTCTCACAGGGATCAAAATGATACCCTGGACGATGGGGTTATGAGTTTAAGTTTGGGTGATCTCTCCCCACCCACACTCAGGCCCCCACGCTCCCCACAGTGACAACGCCCAATCACCCACAGAATCTCCTCGTTCGTCGCTAGCAAGATCTCCTGCGGTGCCTGCGTCCAAAGATCTCCTTCAACTGAATAAGTGTATGGAAACTTCTCGACGCTAGGACTATGTTGCAAGAAGAGAAGAGGAAGAAATTCGGTACAGAGAGTCTGAAAGACGACGCCACGAAGATGAACAAAGACGCAGAGAACTAGAAAATATACGTAGAAGTGAGGATGACCTGAGAAGAAGAGAGGATCAAGCCAAATTTGAAGCCTTGATTTCCCTGTTAGCCTCCCCACAATGATCTACTCTACAAGATTCTTCTGCTACTACTAATGCTGATACGACTAGAGGTACTGGTACCTCATTTCCCAGAGTCGGTTCAACAATTCCTCAAAAGGCTGCAGCACAAACGCCTCCCTCTCTGAAGTCTGACGCTTCTTATCAGATATTTCGGGAATGGCGTCGACGTTGGAGACTATGCAACAATGGTTGACCTGTCAAGTTTACCACAGCCTAAACAGATGATACAGCTTCGTATGTGCTTGTCCTTGGAGAGACAACGTACTCTCGAGCACACACTTCAAGTGCCTCCTGCGACAACTCTGACTGTAGAGGCCGTGCTTGACAAGTTACAGAAACATGTTAAGGGACAGCGCAACGAAGCACTTAGAAGAAGAGAACTCCTCCAATGTAAGCAGCTTGATGGAGAATCTTTTGATGCATTTTTTGTAAGACTGAAAAGATGTTCAGAGGAAGTTGATGTTTGTCCTGGAATCTCAAGTTTGTGAAGAGACACAACTCAAGAGAACCATTTTAACGGGTATTCGAGATGAAGAGCTAGTTCAGCTTCTCATTTCACTTGACCCCACTTCCTCCCTTCAAGACGTTGTTACAAAATGTCGAGCATACGAGGCCGCCAGGTGTGCGACTTCAGCTTTACGCTCACAACCTGACCAGGTGAGGGCGGTGTCTTCCTACAGGGTAAGAAGCAACAAGGTAACCCCACCCCTCACCCTCCAGCTACACCTTCAGCAGCAGCTTTGTGTAACAGCTGCGCGAGACAGCATAATGCCTCCCAGTGCCCAGCTGCTCAAAGCGTGTGCAGAAGTTGCGACCGCCAGGGTCACTGGGCTTACGGAGTCAAGTGCCCTGCTAGCAAAGTTCAGTGCAGACTTTGTGGTCGTGTGGGCCATTATGACAAATGTTGTCGTAAGAAGACACAGAAAGGACACCACCAAGGATCCAAGAAGTCACCCTCAGGTAGTGCTGGCGTGCCCCCTCCTGGCAAGCATCAAGACGCTGTGCCCAGTCGTTCCTGCCGTCGTGTACATTGTTCCATAGACACGACGCCCCAGCACATCAGTGTCGTCATTTCTCACGGTAACTTGTCATCCAGTCTTCAGATGTTACCTGACACCGGTGCTGACGTCTCAGTAATTGGTCCACAACACTTAGCAAGTTTGGGAATACCCAGGAGCAACCTACAGCCCCCTCCTCAGACAACGATACTGACAGCTGATGGTTCCAAGATGGCTCCAGCTTTGGGATCTTTCTGGGCTACTCTTACCTTTGGTAAGCAGTGTTGCTCAGCCCGGATTGATGTTCATGATGGGATCCCGACTCCGCTTTTATCATATGGCCATTGCCAAGAGTTGGCCATTATTTCCAAGGAATTCCCCAAACCTATTTTAAAGGTCACCCATGTCAACATGTTGAAGGAACTCCCTATCTCTACTAACACGTCCCCTTCTAATGCAAGAGCTTACCTTCTCAAGGAGTTTGCTGACGTGTTGGTTACGAAGAAATCTTTAGGATCCACACCACTCAAGCCGATGGTGGGTCCACCTATGAAGATTCATCTTAAGGATGGTGCCACACCTTTTGCCATCCACACCCCTCGTTTGATTCCTCACGCCTACAAGGAGCTAGTTAGACAAGAGCTTGACTCCATGGTTGCTCAGGGAATCATCAAGCCGGCAGGAGACGAACCTTCACCTTGGTGCCACCTTCTCGTCCCCGTCGCCAAACCTCGTGGTGGAGTACGGATCACCACAGATCTGTCAAAACTTAACCAGCAAGTTTCCTGTCCAGCTCACCCTTCACCCACACCCTTCGCAGCTGTTCGAAATGTGGACCCGAAGGCGAAGTTTTATACAACGATGGACGCCTTATGTGGTTATTGGCAGATCGAGTTGGCCGAAGAAGACCAGCATATGACTACATTCATCACACCATATGGAAGATATCAGTATTGCAGAGGCCCCATGGGATTTGCTGCTACGGGCGATGCATTCTGTCAACGTGGTGACGCGGCCCTTCAAGGAGTCACGAATTGTGTCAAGGTGGTTGATGATATTTTACTCCATGACGAAGACTACTGTGCCCACCTCTCCCGAATATATGAAGTTCTCACCAGATGTCGAAAGTACGGGATTACCCTCAACGCTGACAAGTTTGTAGTCGCCGCACCATCAGTGAACTTCTGTGGGTACACTCTCTCAGCATCAGGTATCGCAGCTGACCCGGAGAAATTAAGTGGAATCAGGGATTTTCCAACCCCTGCCAACCTGACAGACCTCCGTTCTTTTTTGGGTCTGGTCAGTCAGCTGGCTGAATTTTCACCTGACATCTCCACCGCAGCCCAGCCGTTACGCCCCCTGCTGAGCCCCAGGAGGACATTCCTGTGGACCACAGATCATTAAGAGGCCTTCCAGCGAGTCAAGCAGGCCCTCTTAAGTCCACCTGTCCTCGCCTGTTACGACCCAGCCCTACCCACCGTCCTCCAGACTGACGCCTCCAGACTCTACGGCGTTGGTTACGCCCTT